TTTTTTTTTTTTTTTTTTTTTTTTGGAGGATGACAATACTTCCTCTCTACCCTATGGGAGCGAGAAAGTAAAAATTGTCGATGACGCATTTTACAGAGGCTTTCAGAATTAGATTTTTCCTCAAGTGTGGCGATCTAACCATTGACGAAGGGACTGACGTTTGACAAGGGGGAAATAGTATCTTGCCCTGTTGTGAATTTGAGGCCAGATCTCCACCGTAGCACATTGAAAACGGACAAGAATTTTTCGCTTGGCTGACATAAAGGCGTAACTACACTTAGAGATGAGCCGGGAAAAGCATTGAGTTACACGGACGACAGGCCTTATCTCAAAGTGTAGTTACGCCTTATTCATACCAGGAAGATGACGAATTATCGAGACGGAAAATATGGCAATGCACGAAAGTAATATAATGGCTATGGGTCATGTTAAAAATCGTTCTGACATTTCTAGCATTAAAAGCCCATCCCTCAATCCTCCCCCCCCCCCCCCNAATTAAGTGCTGTTTTTACTCGATTCCCATTTCTAAGCTTTTTAAAGTATGACGTATGACATTAGTTTTCCTTGTTCCGACATTCGGACTATCACCATTGAACAAAAGGGATTTTGTTCCTCTCAACTGCCTCCCACACTCGAGTCAGTGCTCATGGAGGTTTAACAACTCAGTTATCAATTTTAAGAACTTTATCCTACGATAATCATGGTTATTAGTAGTTTTTGCTCTTTGGTTTTCTTCACGTTGGGACTCTGGGCCAACGAGGTAAGGATGACCATTTGAAGCTACTTAAACTCTAACTGCTTACTCGTATTCCAGAATTACACAGAGAGAGAAAACTTAATTAGCCATAAGTCTTTAAAATTTGGATGGATTTTTGACATTACGGAGTTCTTGACGAACTTTACTTTTATGAAGGAGAACAATAAACGTAATCTCTATGTACTTCGTAGGTTAGTAGTTTTGTAGGTTTTTTTTCCGCTATTGCGCTGTCCTTAAAGCAGGCTGAGCACGAGTAGTTGCAGTCTCGCACAAACTTACGAATGCCCAGTTGACAAGACTAAGGTCAATTATTCTCTACCCTTTGGCTTTGGTTTTATGAGCTCATTTTAATTTTACACATATCTATATCGTAAGTCATATAACGCGCAGCTCAATTACAACGTTCCGAAAACATTGCATTTTTTGAGAAAAAATATGAATGAATGTCAATATATCATACTCTCTTCGTAAAGGGATATCAGTGAACCGAAAGGTATACATCCGTTACAGAGAGGAATCCTATGGATGAAGGGAAAAATTCATGTATTTATTATATGAAGGGACAAATGGATTTTTCAGTTAGAAAGAGTTTTCCATCACGGAGGGGGTCGCTACGGAGAGAGAATACCGCGCTTTTATGATTTTCATAGAACGCTCTCCTCACGACGAGGGAAACCATCGCAAATTCCAAAACATAATTTTCCTTAGTTTACCTCTTTAAAAAGAAAATATGGAAGAAAATGTGCATCGTCGCAAGTTTAGATATATGTATGTACATTGCGACTTTTTCCATAGATATTCTGGAGATGTGAGAAAATGTGGAGTTTACAGTTGAATGTACCTACAAAAGCACTAAATTATATACGTATTATTAAGATACGTAATTATCAGAAACAAAGAAGCCAAATTTAAATCTTAAGGTATGAAAAATTCAACCAATTCTACTCATAGACCAGTATCCCAACATTTATGGGACGTCAGTATATATTATTCACCTCTAAAAATCTTTTTAGAGGTTTTTTTTTATTTTTCTAATTATATAAATACACGTGAAAAATTACAAAACATGCATAGAATATGTGGTACTCTTTACAAATAATTCGCTTTAGTTTCAAAAGAATTTCGAATTGGTCCCACCAAGGTAAATAAAACATGGCAGACTATAAACGAATCTACGTAAAGAAATGCAATAACTACTCAAAAAAATGATGTTAAAAATGAGATTTAAGATTCAGACATAAAAATAACTCAAAGAAGAAACATTTTAGTGTCAGATTTTAGCAGTACCAAGTGATGTCCGTTGTCGTATCCAACAGCATACATGAATGTAATTTTGTAATTATAAAAAAATATGTAATTTTGATCACAGGAGGCCAAACCAGATCCTAAAGCCATCCATATACAAAACTGGGAAACGGCTCATAAATATAAGACATGGAACGATACCATAAAGGATATTCAAAAAGTTGCGTTACCTACAAACCCTTGCAAATCTCTCCCGAAGCGCCCAACGAATGTGACGAAATTGCTCGAGGCTAGCTCGTACTGCAAATATGCTCACGAAGGTTACATCGAGCATGTCATCGGTTTTCCGTTTACTTCCGACAACCCATGCCCAGGCTCTAACTACCTAAATGTTGCCGCTCCTTCGTGCGAACCAAGGGATAAAAAAAATCTAAAACACTGGAGGTGCACCTTAAGCGTTGTTAACGAGAACTCCCCCTTCGGAAGAAGACCCTCGTTCTGTGATCGCGGAAGACCCGCCGTTTTTTTGATCCGCTACAAAACAGTTGATCTCGAGAAATGCGTCAAGCTCAAAGGCTGGGGCCAATTGGAGCTACCACCACCGGAGGTCAAGGCCTCGGGCAAGAAAAATATCGTGGTGACTGCTACAAAAAAGTTGCTCCCGAAAAGTGCTTCAAACACTCGGATCAATTGGACTAAACTTTACAATTAAGGACTAAAAATTACGGCTCAGTTCAGAAACGAAGTATGGACCATTAATGTCCTTTTGCAAATGAGTGTTTTTAGAGAGTGTCATGAGAATCAAAAGTTGTAGTTCCTAATTCCAAAATGATGTCCAATCGTACGAAGTTGAACCGGGCAAAGAGCTTTTTTGCCCGGTTTTTTTAACTTACTTTTTTTTTTTTTTTTTCTTTAATTGCGGCCGAGCCCCAAAGACTTACCCCGTAAGACAGTCACATTTTAAAAATATCCTTAAAATATTGTCAACCTTGTAAAACGTGGTTTAAAAAAATAATAAAACTAATATTTCTTGACCGCGTTACTATTTTTTAGCGTGTATAAGGAATAATTCCAAAGCTCTTAAATTAATTTTCATAATTTAAGTATTTACTTTCTAATGAATTTTTTTTAAAGGTCCTATCGATAATATTTAAAAGATGATTCAGAATAAAATTTGTGGAGCCGCACAAATTATTTTTAAAATATATTCCCAATACTTTTCACGTATTGACAAATGTTCATAATCAATGTTTTAAAATTAATGTTGAAATATTTATGTGCCAGCTGGGAATATAATATCCAGGAAAAGTTTAAACCTGGTGGATTGGATTTAATGACGCACACCAGTCATTGGCGGGTCCAGCAAATTGGCAACATTGTTTTTCTCCACTTAAACCCATGGAAATGTATCGATTCCCTGAGGGGCCAGGTGCTCCGACAAGAATCGATTATTTAACATAGGTTTAAATAGAGGAAATCTGATGTTGCTAAATTGCTGGATCCGCCTCTGACACCAGTGTATGCTGCTGCAAATATCCTTTCTAACACTCCGAAGGGAATTTTTTAATATTTTAACGCAGAGAGCTTCCATTTCCACGAAGCTAAAGTTTGAAATGAGGAGGAAAAGATACGGATGGCAAGGTTTCAAAAAGAAAAAAAAATCATTGACGTCACTACCAACGAAAACTGATGTCCTTCGTTGTTTTCATTCTTTTATTTTCACCTTTAGGCCTCAACATAGAAAATGCGTCATTCAGCAATTTTTATTTTGCTCCTTTCTCGAAGCAATCACCGAGCAATGGGATACTTGTTGGGTGTTCGCTCAACTACCTCCCATTTTTCATTTGACGCTTGGCCTTTACCGTGAGTTTAAAGGCTTGGTTTAGAATTTTAGGGATCGTATCATTCGGTATTAATGGGTTTCCACAGTTCTTGTATTTTGGTTCTCTTCTCACTGGAACTATTGAGCAGTATGGTAAGAAATAATATTTAATTTAACTCTACTTTTCAGTACATTGAACTGTGTCCTGCGAGTCGCATCATTTAAAATTACATAGAACGCCAAAGACTGGTACGTAAATCAGGCATAAAAAGACATATTTTGATATGGATATTAATTCAACGTTTAAATATTGAGGACAGTGTTCTCTCAAAATATATTCATCTCCCTTTTTCGGGGGGTTTTTGCTTATTTTTATTTTACATTGCTTTCAGTGCTTGCAACTGTCTCTATTGTACTTGCAAGTATCCATTAAGCAAAACTGAGAGCATTTTTCTACCCTTTGCTATTAAAACATTACTTATTCACCATTTAGAGGTGTGCATTTTAGAGGTGTGCTATATAGGAATTGAATTCATCTTCAAAGTGATTAAAGAAACGAAATTTCATATTATTATTGACAGAGATTGTAAAAAAATAAGATAACCTTTATGCAAGAGATAAATCTGAAACTATAAATAAAAAATTAAGAAACTATTCAACTGTGCCCTTAAATTCCGCACTAGTTAGGATTGTTCGCCTCTTTTAATCCCCCACGGTTTAAAAGTCTACTCAATAAAATGAAAGATCAATAAGACAAATTTATCAGCCAAGGAAGATTATTCGAAAATTTCTTACCATAACCGACCTATTAAATAACGTAAAAAATTATGATTTTACCGTTAGATCTCAGCAACGCCACGTAGTGGCCGTTTCTGTGGCCATAGGCGGATCCAAAGGTGGGAATGGAGGGGGAGTGCGTCTATCCTCCTGTTCGCCCGAAAAGAAGGAGGAAGAAAAAGGGATATATGAAAATAAAGAAAGAAAGAAAGTAGTAGTAGTAGTAGTAGAAAGTAGTAGTAGTAGTAGTAGTAGTAATAATAGTAAGATAAGTTTATTTTAAAGCGGTGCTTTAGCATCTAAGGTCATTTACACCTAAGTTTAAAGAAAGAAAGGAAGAAAGAAAGAAAGTAGTAGTAGTAGGAATATATAAGTTTATTTTAAAGCGACGCTTTAGCATCTAAGGCCATTTCAACTTCTAAAGGAGGTAATAGTAGTAATATATGTACATGGAAATTAATGTTACATCAGTAAAAATACAAAAGGGTTGAGGGGAAAGGTTAAATTTTAAAGAAAGAAAGAAAGTAGTAGTAGTAGTAGTAAAATAATTTTATTTTAAAGCGGTGCTTTAGCATCTAAGGCCATTTACACCTCTAAAGAAGGCAGTAATAGTAATAAATTTACATGGACAATCATCAAAAAGGATCAGTAAAAATACAAAAGGGTTGAGGGGAAAAGTTAAATTTTGAGATTAGTGGAGCGCATAAATTCAAAAAGTTTCACAGGATGAGTATTCAGAAGTAAATTTTTAAGAGTGGGTAAGGGGTAGGGAAAAAAACGTTTTCGGATTTCTTTATAAAGTGGGCAACTTATAAGAACGTGATCTACTGTTAAGGGGGAATCTGGACAAGAAGTGCAAGCAGGACGGTTTAATTGGGTCATCAAATAGCTATGGGAAAAATTTGTGTGACCAATTCTCAGTCTAGTTTGGACTACTTGTTGAAGTCGAGTCAAATGAAAGTTTTCGGATGAAGGTGAAGTAGGCAATGCAGGGGGGCATTTAGCATTGGTGAAATGCTGCCACTCAGTAACCCAATAGTGGAGAATTTTTCCTTTTATATCTGGAAACAGATCTTTAGAGGTAACCGATCCCTTCGAGAAGGGGTCAATTGAAAGGCTAGACTCCCTGGCTGCAGAATCTACTTGAACATTACCCGGAATATTAACGTGTCCTGGGCACCAACAAAACAGGATAGAGAAATTTTTAGATATAAGGGTGAAGACTAGATTCTGGATCTGGGTAAGGATTGGGTGAGGATTATTGGGGTTACCTAAAGCACTTAATACACTAAATGAATCTGAACAAATAATTGATTGTTTACAATCTGTATTATGGACATAATTTAAGGCTTTGGAGATAGTTAGAGCCTCAGCTGTAAAAAGTAGTAGTAAAATAATTTTATTTTAAAGCGGTGCTTTTGCATCGAAAGAAAGAAAGAAAGTAGTAGTAGTAGTAAAATAATTTTATTTTAAAGCGGTAGTAGTAGTAAAATAATTTTATTTTAAAGCGGTGCTTTGCTTTAGCATCTAAAGAAAGAAAGAAAGAAAGAAAGAAAGTAGTAGTAGTAGGATAAGTTTATTTTAAAGCGGTGCCTCAGCATCTAAGGGCATTTACACCTCTGTGTGTTTACAAGGAAATGAGGGTTACATCAGTGAAAATACAAAAGGGTTGAGGGGGGAGCCATTTACACCTCTGTAAGGCAGGAAGGAAGATAGTAGTAGTAGTAGTAGTAAAATAATTTTATTTTAAAGCGGTGCTTTAGTAGTAGAATGAAGTAGTAGTAAAATAGGTAGTAGTAGTAAATGAAGGAAGGAAGGAAGGAAGGAAGGAAGGAAGGAAGAAAAAAGGGCTCTCTGATGTGGGGATTATTCATAATGAAATTGACAAACTGAATATCAAATGCCTTTAAATTTCGAAAAATTTTCGAGAGAAACCCCTCCTTGACTCCCCCTCTCCACACCTCCCGCTCAAAGTATCTGAATCCGCATATGTTTACGTAGCCAAATGAGTGAAGGGATTCGTTTTACACAAATGTAACTTTGATCACAGGCAGAAGTCACAATCTCAAGGGACGTTTCGATTGGTTCAGAATCTCCAGAAGAATCCGGTTGGTCCTGGATGAATTCCGCCAAAACCCTGCATGATATCCGGATGGTTGCGCACCCTGAAAACCCTTGCAAATCCCTCCCGGCACGCCCTAGAACGGAACTAACGCACGCCGCTGCCGCTTACTGCAAGAATGCTCATGCGGGTTTCGTGCAGCATCTGGATCTCTCCTTCAGGCTCAGGTGCCCAGGTTCCGCGCTCGAATCTGCTCCGGAAGTCGCTTGCTCACCAAGAGACAAAAAGAGGTACAGCAACTATCGGTGCACCATAGGGGTCAGATCGGGCTTCTTTCGTACGTACTGTCGCGGTCAGTCGTTCAAACGCGTCGACCTAGAGACATGCGTCCAAGGCTGGGATAAGTTAATCCGTCCCTAGATTATCATGCTCTTTATCATGTTCAAATCAAAATAAATCAATATAATTGCTGAGTATATAATAACGAAATGGATTGAGCCATGGTATATGATTCATTGATACATCCGTTCCTTTGCGCAGCTCTTTCGCAGATTACCGGGCACTCACCAACGGCTAGTCTTGAAAGTTGGCAACGCCGTTTTCCCCGCATTTAAATGTATCGGAAACGATCGATTCTTCATGAGGCAGCTTGCGTCTCCGAAAATCGATATTTTCCATGGAGTCAAATGGAGTAAAAACAGTGTTGCCAATAGAGTGTTGGAAAATTGTCACTGGCAGTTACTGCCACTTATGCCGGAAACACGCGCTGAATATGGACGTCGACAGTCCTCGCTCTACGGCTGAAATTTCGCAAATTCAAGCTATTTTCAACCAGACTCGTATCAAATCTATTCGAATAGTTCAGATGAATCCGACATTATCCGATGGTCGCTGAGCCTTGTTCCTGAATTTTGCACGACACTCGCAAAATTCAGGCCTCGGACCCAATCGGATCGATGACTTCCACATTCAAGCCCACATTCAGCTCCCATTATTCAGCGTGTGATCCCGGTGACAGTCTGAAATGACGTCAATTTTCTCGCACTTGAGGAATACCAATTTCTCAATGAGCTCGTCATTTTACTAATAAGACGCGAACTATGCTGTCACAGGTGAATAAGGCAGGTAAATTAAACTAGATTACACGAATTTTGAAAGAAAATCGATTGAAAAAATTCAGGCGTTACTGCTCGTTTTTGGTAATACGCACTGAAAAAAAATTCTCGGCGTTTTTACCAAGGTCCGTTGGTACCTTTACCATCTCACTTTTTTTTACCAATTATTGGTAATTTTACCAGGACAGACTGGTAAGCTTACCTAAAAACCGGTATTTTTACTGTTTTTTTCAGGTAAGAATACAACTTTTATTGGTAATCAATTCCCGGTAACTTTGCCATTTTATCTCGGTAATTTTACCACAGTCTTTATAAAATATTGGCTATTTTACCGGGGATCAGTAAAACTACCGAGAAAGTCGATAATTTTACCGAGATTTCTCGGTAAAATTACCAATTCCATAAATGGTAATTTCACCAAGAAAAAAATGGGATCAAATAGAACCCTGCATTCTTGGTAATTTCACCCTTTTCTTGGTAAATACACCGAGATTTTATTTTTCAGTGAGACAGGATTTTAAGGTAAAGTTGGTTCCCGGGAATATCTCTTACGTCCAAGAGACGTATTGTCATCGGCAGGAATTTCCGTAAATAATCACTGAGGCTTCATTGTTCGTTCGACCAGACGCCCGCTCGAAGAGCCTCATCCGGTTATTCCGATCGGCAGGGCTTATAGCGAGAAAATAACTGCCATGCCTAGCATAACTTCGGTGAAAAACCCCATGCAGTTACGAGTTTCTTACCAAACATGGCAGAGAAATCCGATGCTCGATGGGAACGGTCACTGTCCGTAACGCCGACACAATCCGTAACAAACGCTAGCCGCGTTGCAAGCTCATCCCGAGTATCTCGTTCACGTATCACTCGGAAAATCGGCCTTTTTACGCTCCAAACTGGCAGCTCGCGACCGAGCTCTATTGCAAGATGGCCACAGTGCGTTTTAAACAATTTTAATGCGGTCAACATACCACCCGCGATTTTTTTGCGTAAATGTCAACTAGAAGGCCTACTGATTGAGGAACAACAAACCGCGAAATCTGTGATGGGGCCGATTTTGAGAAAATGCGATTTTTCGCTTTTTTGGCGGGAATTTCGGGTCAAGGCGCTGAAAAAGTCAAGTTAGGCTGTTTTTGTAGTTCGTAAATGCATATCCTATACATTTTGAGTCAATCAAGTGCCAGTAGATAGCTATTCGTGCATATTGCCCAAAATTCATATCCTTAAATCCACGACTTTTGGGTTTTTGGGGG